ACACCTACACCGACATCTACACCCACACCCACACCCACACCCACACCTACACCTACACCGACATCTACACCCACACCCACACCCATCCACATCCACCCACACCCACACCTCACACATCCACACCCACCCTAAACGATAACAATAATCTCATGACCCTTCATGATCAGTTATTCATGATCAGTCGTCCGCCGTGATCAGTTGTCTGTCATGATCAATTGTCCGTGATCAGTTGTCCCATGATCAATTTCCTGTGATCAGTTGTCCGCTCACCAAGTTCACTCATTGAGTGCCACATATTAAATGTTGTTTAATTGAATTTGGATTCTTTTGATCGATGCAGATGTCGGATATATATGATGGAAAACGCATTCGTCAAGATAGTAATAAATAAAATCACAGACTATGGATCAATCGTATAATAATAACTATTAGAAATAGGATTGGTTCGGTTCCATAAAGATACAAACCGATCCCATCTCTGTTATCTACACAGTCGTATTAAATATATATATGATGGATTAAATAATCTCACTCTAATATACACAGGATGCTTGAAAAATTTAGGAACACCGTAAGTTCTTATTGGTTGGTCAATTTTTTTCTGAGTAGAAATGGCTATCCGTTATGGTGCTGGTGCAACACTCACACGAGTAGATGTGATTAGTTTCTAATATAAAGTTGGATCATTATGTGTAAAGATTTAAAAGAAACTTTGAAAGAATTTTTTTTCTCTCCCGGACTCATCGCTACTCTATACGATAGAATGCACACTCGATGACTAAAATATAAGCTTACTTTAAATAAAAAATTTTCTTTTATTGACATTTCATTGTTTAGTATTTCTCATGAGTCATTTGTTTTTTTATTGTTCTGTGTACTTGAAAAAAATCCAAAGAATTTGAAAATGTTTTTTTTTTCATCATAATTGTTTATTATTATAACGACAAATCCTTTTCTTAACATACAAATAATATTTTAATCGATCAATTAGAAGATTTAAACTTTAAATTGAATTTTAAACAAAATAATATGTAATCTGAATATACTTTTGCTTAATTAACTATCATTATTTTTAAATTTTGACGTAAATATGATTGTAATCTTGAACTTACTCATGTGAATACAAAAGAACAGTTAAATTGATAAGAAAAGAAAAAATTGACACTTTTTTTATTTTGAATGACTCATTGTTAATTCGATGACACTTATCTAAATTGAAAATAAAAACGAAGATGAAAGCAAAAAAAAAACACTTAGAAATAAGAGCCAATAAATTTCCTCGTTTAGTCAAATATCCTAAAATGATAATTTCTCTTTGTTGTTAGATTCTGACGAAAAATTGATAAAAGATAAATATAAAAACAGTTCAAAATATCTTTGAGCATTGGAGATTGATTGACTAATAGGTTTTAATTTTTTCTTCGAAATTTTGAATTCATATCTTAAAAAAACTACATGTTTTTTTTCATGAAATAATTTCAGATAAATTCTATTTACCTTTCATTGTGAAACAAAATATCTCAATTTTATCGACATTAATTCCAAAATGAATAAACCTAATTTTCCTCTAATATTATTTTTCATTAAATTTATTGAAAAAAAAAGAATTCTGAGAATATCTTAACATTGAAAAATCCACAAATAATGATATTGTTTTCGCATTTGTTTTAACTTCAATGTTATTAGACATGAATAAACAAGAATGTTTATTGAACCATATGGAAGTAATTTTATATCATGAAAAAACTTTATTTTTCTTATCTAAAAAAGAACTTTAAAAAAAGAATATACTAAAATTTAAAAATTATTCTAAACGCTCAGTTTAATTAATCAGATAAGGGAGGCTTTGTATATTTTTCTAAAATGTTATTTTTATTGAAGCAAAAATAAAAAAAGTATATATATATTTTTTTTTCTTAGTAATAAATGTTTTCCATATGATTGTGTTTGTATTTCTAAATGTGAATGAAATTTAAAAAAAAATTGTTTTTTTTTTTAGATTTATATCTTGTTTATTTAATTAAGTTAAAGAAGTATACAAGATAAAATATAGTTCTAATTCTTTTATATCTTCATTTAATATCCACCACGTAAAGCTAAGACTAAATGAAGAACACTTCCAGCATTGACATTGTATTCACTAACTGTTTTATCATCTGTCATTTAGTGGCGGCGCCAGGATTTTTTGGTATGCTGGATCTCAGCTTTAAAGCATGGGATCCGAATGAAAATTGATGGAGGTTGATATTGGTCTTCAACGATGACTTTCCATCAGACGATTTTTGTAATAGAAGTTTGCGAAAAAAATTAGCTTTTTCCTGAGCCCATCCAAGAATTTTCTTACATTTTTAGTAATATCCAATTTTTAAGAATTCCATAGAAAGCTACATCAAATTTCATCGAGAGATTTCAAATTTCATCTTGAAATATTCATCCGTTCAGGAGTTATGACGTTTTGAAGTTTTGGTACGTTTCGAAAAAATTGCACCAGAAGTTCAAAACGTCATAACTCCTGAACGGATGAATATTTCAAGATGAAATTTGAAATCTCTCGATGAAATTCGATGTAGCTTTCTATGGAATTCTTAAAAATTGGATATTACTAAAAATGTAAGAAAATTCTTGGGTGGGCTCAGGAAAATGCTAATTTTTTTCGCAAACTTCTATTACAAAAATCGTCTGATGGAAAGTCATCCTTGAAGACCAATATCAACCTCCATCAATTTTCATTTGGATCCCATGCTTTAAAGCTGAGATCCAGCATACCAAAAAATCCTGGCGCCGCCACTACTGTCATTTGTTTTCCACCGAAAATAAGTCGTTGTTGTTGTGAAGGAATTGTTATTTTAAGAAGAAAGTAATATTATTTATAAATAAAAATTAATATATTTTCTACCTTCTTTTTCTTCAACACGTCCTTTAATACGTTCGATTTTATCTGTTCCATCAATATCAACTTCAATTTCTTTACCAGTTAATGTTTTCACTTTGATCATCATCTTTGAAATTTGAATATTGAGAAATTATGAGAAATCTGTAATTTCCGTAAGATTAGATATGCTTTTTTTTGCAACAATTATACTTTGTAATGTAAAATTGTATAGAATATTCCTATTGGATTACATTAAATATTAGATGGATCATCAATCAGAAAACGTTTTTTTTCTCAAAATTGAAATTAATAATTTTCAATTCTCTTTTTTGTATAAAAATTTTATGATTTAAATAATGCAAAATAGCATACTATAAATTTATATCAGGCAACGATCATAGATGTCACTCTATACTAAACATCAATAAAGCAGAGTCATCTAGTGATTATCTTATTTTCAAAAAGTACAGTCGGCTGATAAAAAGTTCAAACAAGCTCTATCTGCATTAGTTACAGAATCAGTTGAGATATACCCATCATTTAGAAATTCAAAGAAATTAAATAGGATTCACTCACACACAGGGTTACCAAATCGATATTGTCGAAACCAGAAAATCTCTACAAAAAAAGATCAGAAGTTCACCAGAAGTTTTTCTCGAAAACCATAAGGCATTTAGCGGTATTTTCGTTCGAAAAAGCGTTTGGTACTATCTTCTAATAAAATAATTATAGTAAAATTTGCTGACAAGTGATATAAAAAAGAATAAATATGGCCAAGCGTATTTTATATTATTGATTAACTGTTGATGAAAATATACAAACAAAATAACAACAAAAGTTTATTTATAACCTAATATGAACCAAAACCTGGCCTCGTAGTGGGACTATATTTCCTATAATTCCTATATTTTTAAAATTAGTCCTGTAATGGACTATATTTCAAGGTTTTTTCCTATATTCCTATATTTTTCGAAAAATTGAAGGTTCCTCGCAAAAAAAGTCACATATTCTTCGATCTGTATGTCAAGAAAGCCGCAATAAGACGTTCAATGGAAGAAAATACAGAACATGCTTGTGTAAATGAAGTCTGTAAGCAACTACCGTAAGAAAAAGAAGAAATATTAATGAAACTAAAAGATTTTCAGCATGAACTTCATAAAGACGACTAGACAGTCACCAATAACAGTGAACGTTTACTAGAACCCGCAATCAAGAAATAGTCTTGATATAGCTAAAGCTACAAGATTAACTGATGACGATAATACTGAAAGTAAAACGATCTGGAACAGATGTCGAAAGTACAGAACAGTTGATTAAGATTAGAAGTAAACGAAAAAATGATTTTGGCCAAGAATAACAGAAGCGACAAAAAACTACAACTGATTCAGCGATTACTTATAATCAAAACAGATTTATACTTGTATATATTTCAAAATATACTTTTAGGTATGACAGATGTTTTAATAGTATTAAAAAGATGTATAGTTTATATTGTTTAAAGCAAAAAATAAATTTTTTGTGGTCTCTATTGCATTTGGTTGCATTTATAATCCTATAGGTCCGTATCTGTAGAGTAGTATGAAAATAAATGAAACACATTATTTTTTTTCATTTCTGAAAGGAGATACTTTATTATGATACTGCTTTTCACAAGTCGAAGATATTTTTCTTTAGTTCA